GAGCAGGTTAAGAAAAGTTGCGCAAAGCAAACAAACTACTTCTACAATAAGGCAGCCATATTATCTGCCATTTACACTCAAATAAGCAAACTGGAAGAGAACCCCGAAAGGTCTTTTGTTGCTTTAAAAAGCAGCTGCAGTTTACTCTGCATGTTTTGCCACAGCACCTGTGGAAGGTTTGAGTACAACCCATTTGTGGATTTTTGAGAGGTCTACAGAATGGCTTCTTCACACTAGAAGTTCACATTTCTAGGGCATGAAATATTTTCATTGTTATCTTGACTACTGCCATTCAAAAACTAAGCAAAGCATCTCACTAACTGTTCCTAAAGAGAAACTGGTAGTTTAAATCAACTGCAAATATAATCAGATACACTGGAGGCTTTCTTTGTACTCCCAAGAAAGCCAGTGACTGAGGATTGCACTGAATTACTTGATGTATCTTTGTCTCAGTCCATATTTTCGGAACAACTCACAGAAAAACATACAACTCTACAGAAACCATCTGTCTCTTCCTCATATATGAAACATACTAGGACTTCACTGTTTGTCTGAGAGCTATTACCACACCTTCTAACAGATAATACAAATTCTAGACTAACTCAGCTGGTACCCAAAGCAATCTTTATGTGAATGCTTCAGAGTACACTGAGCACACAACTATAAGCAGTCTTGACCAAGTTTACTGGTGCCTCTATTATAGAACTGTTTGCAGACTCACCACCAGCACAAATTCCTCTCTGTAACTTGCAAACTTTTTAAAGACATTTCAAAATGCTTTCACAAAGCAAAGCTACTGGCTCCATTTTTGGAAATGCAGTGCAAAACTCACCAAAGTCAGTTATGTATTCTGTGATAGCCCACTTTTAGCATCAGAAGTATTTTGAGTCTCTTAAAGTAAGCTTTAAGCTTCTGATACATTCAATAGACTGATAAATAAATTTGCAACGTGGTCCTCCTGTCTGTTGTACAAATGTACAAAACTAACAAACTTTATGTTGCTATAACACAACTGAGAAGGGAAAAATACACTGTAATTTAATGTTTTAACATGTGTAAACAAATTTCACACAGCCTAGACATAGTCTGGTAGTGCCACTAGCTAGCAGCGACTTCTATGCAGGCACATGTAGGCAGAGGAGAGGATTAGGGGCGTGTCTAAACAAGCAGGAGAAACTATTGCAGTTATCTGCCAGACTAAATTACTGGAAATACTCTCACGATCCAAATGAGCAAGTCGTCCACCCATCTCTGAAGTACCAGAGAGAAAAGCGTAACTAAAACCTAACAAAATAGAGACTAAAAAACCACCAGAGCCTCAAGGCAGGATAAACGCTTATACAGAAACAATGCTGTTTTGCAACAATGTCTGTAACACACGGGCACATACTCTACCTTTAAAATACTTACCCGATTCCTGAAGCAGCTGAAACACACAGCTAGTTGTTGTGTTGGAAATGGCAGCTTTCCCTTCCATTCGGTCCTTCCTGGCTGCATTTCCCGCCGTAATTTGGTCTTTTGACTGCATGAGAACACATCCCGGGATGTCTGGCAGCTCATACACTTCTTTCGTTTTACCTTCATTAACTTTTTTACCAAGTTTCAGGTCTAGAGAAATTGAAAAAAAAAAAAATCAGTTTAACATTGAAAGGACTTGTTTACTTCCGCACGCACGCCCACAACCTTCGCGTCCAAAGGGGAGACCAGCAGGACCCCGCGCTGCGGGCAGAGCCCACGAGGAGCTCGCTAAGCCCCCACCCACGGTGCGACTTGGCCCCGTTCCCCCCGAGCAGCGAGGCCAAAAGCCATCGCTCCGGGCTCCTGCCCAGGCGGCCCCGGCTCGCCAGGGACGCGCGGGTTGCAGGCGGGCAGGTCCCGCGGGAGGCAGCAGCGCCGCTTTCACCACCTTTTTTTTTATCTTCGGGACAAATCCCGAGCTCCGCGATCTGAGCGGCGCGGGGCGGCAGCCGCCCGCAGCATCCTCTGCCTGGAGCTGCCCGTCGCCGTCTCTCCGGCGGGACCGGGGGCAGCCGTGCCCACCCTCGTGCTGGGACCGGCCACCCACAAGAAAAAAATATAAAAATCAGAACTACGCGAGAAAAAAAGTTGGCTCCGGAGCACTTACACCCCCAGCGGTGTACTGGCCAGCGGGCACTGGTCCCCGGGAGCGGCGTCCCCGACCCACCCCCGCGACGGCCGCACCTTACCTGATGCTGCGGGGGCCATGGCTGCGGCGGGAGCGGGCTCGGGCACCTAGAGCACAGAGAGAGCCTGAGCGCACGCCGCGGGCTCGGCCGCCGGGGTAAGAAGGGGCCGGCGGAAGGGGCGGGCAGGCCGGGCCGCGGGCAGCGGCGCCGCCCGCCAATCGCCGCCCAACGCGGTGGGGCGGCCCCGCCGAGCCCCCCGGGCGAAGCCCGAGCGGCAGCATCTCCCCCCCGCCCCGAGCAAACACGGCCCCGGCCCGCTGCCCAGCCAATGTCGGCGCCGCACCGCGCCCGGCCCAGGGCCCCCCGCGCCCCCTGCCCCGCGGGCAAACATCTCCCCCCCCCCGGCCTGCAGCGCCCCGCGGGCAAACATTCCCCCCCTCCCGGCCTGGAGCGCCCCGCGGGGTCGCGGGGCCGAGGGGAAGCGAGGGGAGGCGGGGCCGGGCGAGGCGGCAGTACGGGCCGGGGGTGCGGTGTTCGCCCCCCCGCATGTAAATGAAGGCGGGAGGCTCCCGCTGGCCCGCCGGGAGCCCGGAGCGGGAGGCGCTGTTGGCTGAACGCGCCGCCGGCAGCAGCGCGCGGGAGCCGCCGGAGCGGGGCCGGGACTGGGAGCGGAGCCGCCACGTGCTGCTCGCGCCATGGAGCTGGAGGAGCTGGGCATCCGGGAGGAGTGCGGCGTGTTCGGCTGCATCGCCTCGGGCGCGTGGCCCACGGAGCTGGACGTGCCCCATGTGCTCACGCTGGGGCTGGTGGGGCTGCAGCACAGGTGAGGAGGCGGGGGGCTCGGGGGCGGCTCTGGCCGGACGGGGCCATCGTCCGGAGCCGGCGGCTCCGTGTCGAGGCCGGGCCGCGGCGGCCGCCCCGGGGCCGGCCGGGGCCCCGCGCCGGCACGTGCAGCTGGGAGGGCCCCGGGTCGCGGGCGGCGGGAGCGGCTGGGACGGGAGACGAGCGGGCTGGGACGGGAGTCGAGCGGGCTGAGGGGAAAAGCGGCGCGGCCGGGGGGCCTTTCCACCCCAGCCGGTCCTTCCGCCCCGGGCCGGCGGGGAGCCCCGCAGCATCCCGGAGGCGAAGCGCAAGGAACGCCCCGGCGCCTCCCGCCCCCTCGGGCCGGCCCCGCCGAAGGAGCAGCTCTCGGATGCCTGTGGACCTCGGCTGCATCTCGCTTGAGTCGCATCCGCTGCCGGGGCCGCGCCGCCGGCCCGGGCGTGCGCGGGTCCCTGCGCGGAGCCCGCGGTGTCGCCGCGCCTCCGGCGTCGGGGATGCGCCCCGCGCAGCGGGATCCGCTCCGGGATGGGCAGAGGGATGCGCGGAAGCGCCCGCCGCCTCGTCCAAGGCACGCCGGGCGCTGACCTGCCTACGGCTCGGCCTGGGCCGGCCGGCCCTCTCGAGATGCTCTCGTTAAAGTGTAACTCACAGTAATCGAGCTACCGAAAAGGAGCAGTACTTGAACATCTTTAGGTGCCTGCTAGCCATAGTGGATGGATCCTTTACCATGATACAATAAAACTTCTACCTGGCATGTCTACAGCAGTGTACAACAGACCCGACTCGCGGTGATCCGGGTGGATGCAGAGCTGCAGAGTGAAGTTTGGCATCCATAGTAATAATGTTATGGTCTGACATATACTAATCATTTTTCAGTGGTGCCAGAAAGGGGTATCCTCCTTGTGGGAACACGTGCACAGCCAAACACACACATGCTCGTTTAGTGTAGTACATGCTGGGCTTCTGTCGTACACACAAGCCTGTATACTGTGCTTATATTCAGAGTTGCAAAAAGTGTGCTAAATAAACACATTCCTGACAGTCTGCGGTAGGTGGGCTGCTCCAAGTACACATGCACTGGATAGATCAAATATGTTCCTTGTATTTCTGAGGCCACAGACATGTAAAGGTTGCTCTGAAATTGTTTTTGGACCAACAATAGGGAATACTTTATGTAGAGATGTTATGTATATTACAGTGGAGTTTAAATACTTTCACTGGTGAAATGCTGCATCCCTACATGACTCTTGTATCCTAATAATTCAGTTTGGGCTTCAGGTGTATAATTTCTAAGCTATATATATTTGCCAGTGTCCATCAAAAAAGTTTTTATTGGGAATGATAGAGCTGCAGAATTCAAGGAACAAAGCTATGTAATTAATAGCCATATTTTAGATTGTGCCTTTTTTCTGTAAAGAGGCTGGTTAAAGAAATCTTACTTCATTTTTCCTTACAGTTATACTAGTGGACCTGGAGTTTCTTAGTTGGAAATAAATTATCAATGTATTTTGATTACTTTCCTTTTTTATTATCTCAATTTTCACTGCAACCTTATTTCATGATTTTTCAATATGCATTTTTTTCATATTTTTTCTTTCTGATGGGCACTTGACAATTATATTTCATTTGCATGAGCTTTTTAATACCAGATATCCCCTGTGGAGGACACAATTGTAGATAGTACTACTGTTACATTGAAGCTAAGCAGTTCACAAGTTCTACAGGAAGCCACACACCTTAAGAGGTACATGCACTGCCTCTGATTCTGATTTTCTAACTCAACAATTGTCAAAATTTTTAAGAGGTGCTTTCTTAGAGACGTAAACATTGCACATGTAAAGTGAAACAATCTGTTCAATTAGGTATACCTTTGCAAGCACTCCCTAAAAGTCTATTAAATAGCTGAGATGTTAATGTTCCCATTTCCTACTTAAATGTTTCTCTCTAACCTCTTTGCATTTTTCCTACTATGAAGTGAAGAGTTAGCATCCCTATAAGGAAGTAACAGGACAATAGCTATTTTTCTTTCTACTTTTTGGAACGTATGTTGAAAACCAGAATTAAGATTTAGCATTAACTGCATCAGTAAATTTCATTAAGCCCATTGTTTTTAAGTTAAAAACTAAGACATGTTTCTTAACCATACACCTTTCAAAATAAGTAAATAGAAAAGAAAATTGTAATAAATATTAGTGGGCTATCCAAGTCAGGCCTAAGTGACTAACAAATTTGACTGGCCACTAGGAAATACGGTCCTTCAGTGGGGATGTTTGCAAATGAAAACTTGAAACTCTGTATGCTGGATCAAGCTACCAAAGTATTTAAGCATGTATTCAGTGGGGGGGGTGTGTGAATTGCTCATCGCTGCACTGAAACTATTGTGCATGAAAAATTGGAGTGTATATGTGAGCAAGGTTCTGGAGCTCACAAGCAGGTATACCTTTATAGCAGAAGTTAGAACATGACTTTTCATTGGCTCTTACTTTGTAATGGTGAACTGTGAATTAAAATGAAAACCAGTATATTCCTACTCACAGGCTAATCAAGGCCTTCCACACATAAAGAACATTTTATCAATTTAACTTGACATCATTTTAACATTTTACGGCTGTGTTAGCAGTGAAGGCTCATTATGTTTGAGACTTTCAATTCTGCTAAAGCTAGTGCTGTTACTCTGGCATCAACATTAACAAGGCTTTTAAAAAGTGGATGTTCTAAATCATCTCTACATTTTGTAAGCCAGGGAACAAAGCCACTGCAAAATCCACTGACAGCATGCCAAAATATAATCAGAGGATATGAGTAAGGAGAGGACTTTCTTGGGGGCGGTGAGGGAGGGAGGAGGAGTTACTCTGAGTTACAAATCTATTAAACGTCATTTGAGTCCTTGACCAGGACAAATTTGAAAAGTTAATCTTCGAACAAGTGTGATTTCTGTTAACTTTTTGCAAAATTCCCCAGAAAATATTTTTGGCAGTGATACCTGAGTGCATCCAGTGTTGTACTGATTTTTAGAAAGAGGCTTTGAAAGGCCTCTTCTATGCAAGTGGAGGTTCCATTAAGTGAGGGAATACTTCTTGTCCCAACTCAGCTGGGCCCATGTATGAAATTTGTTGAGTGGAGGCTTGGCCAGTGTGCTTTTTGATACCTTTTCTGTTACTGTTCACTATTAAAACCCACATAACAGAACAGACATTATTGCCAATATAAGTTAAGAATTTTTACTTCTCTTTCAATCTAGTTTTTTTACTGGTTCCTTCCAAATACCTACACTCAGTATAGCATAATCAAAGTGTTTACCTTCTATATACAATGTCTTGACTACAAGACAGGGGTCTTTTTTAAAGGCCATTTAGCAAGCTGTTGGTATCCTGATGTACACCTTGAATCTTCCAAACAAAAAGCTTAAAATTGTGATAGCATTTGGATGGGAATTTTCTGAGGAATACAGGTATGCTACAGGTAATGATTTGATATGTAACATATATACCTCTTAATTTAATTTCAAGAACCCATTATGAGTTCAGCAGACCCTCATTCCAAGGCGCAAGAACTGCAGTGTTAAATGTTTTAATTGTCTAGATACCAAATTTTGTAATTAGTCGTATTTCTGTGTAAAATCTGTATGGAATATATGGGGTAAGATGTTCGTCTAGCTAGTGATTGAGCCTGTGTTGCTGTTTTATGAGAACATTCCTGCTATATGTACTGGTAAAGCATTCCTGAGTACTTTCAGAGACACTGAATGTGGATGTAGAAACAGATTTATCTTTTAGTTCTATCTTGGCTTAAGTTTTAGGCCATTCTGCAGGTGCTGACAGCCTGATGCTGCAAAGCTTGCTCCTGCAGGAAGAGAGGAGGAGCAAGGCCTTTTCTGCTGTGGTGAGCTCTTATATCTGCTCAGTTGTTTTATATAACATCTTGCAGGGTTCCTGCAAGTTCATTTTTGGGAAAGTGAAGATAAGATTTCCATTCTGACCAAGTTCAGGCTGCTTAGATGTACATGTCACAAAATGCATTCAGTATAAGCTCTGATCTTTGGATGTGGAGTAAGCAACTGGAACAAGATGATGTAAAGACTTCCCATTACATTAACCTAGCTATGGAGTTGGGGCGAGACTAGGCATCATACAGCTCTGCAGTAATTTTCACAGGATTGTTCTGTTGGCTTGTCTGCCTATACCTTAAATTTAGCCCCATGCATGGAAGGAGGGCTGTACACAGCATTGGAAGTTCTGACTGGGTAGAGCAGTTCGAATAAACTGTCCTTCACTATCTGCCATGTCTTATATTACCATTCCCCAAACATTAAAAACAAACAAACAAAAAAAACCCCAGCTTTTTTGGAGGGGCTTTTTATTAGGTTAGTTTTAATTTAAATCAGTTCTGTCAGCTGGGCAACCACTTGGCCACATAAATGCTTGTGCCAACACAAAGGAGACCTTGCCAAATAAGAAGCAAAGGGTGACTGGAGGCAGATTCTTTTAAGCCCAGAGTTATGCTGATAGTGCTTGTGGATCCACCATCAGTGCAAGCATTTCTGCTGCCTGAAGCCCATTCTTCTAAGGAAGTGTAAAGTGACCCATTCACCTTAGTGAATGAGCATACTTTAGAGAAGAATGGAACTTTTTAATGTAGGTCAGAGTGGTGATACCACTGATTATCTGCTACACCTCAAAAATTTCAGTATTGCTGTTTGAAAATGTGAAGAGAAGATTTGCCCTCACACTAATCTTGATGGGCCTCTGGCAATAATGCAGGTATTTGAGGAGGAAGAAGATCAAAGATGCTTTTTGTAAGATTGATCCTCTTGTCATGATTGCTTGTTGCTAGTTCTGATTTTTAAGATGGACTATGATGTAATTTACATTAAGATTCCCACAGTCAGTCACATGGTCCAGCCTTTTTGCTAAACAAGAACTACATTTTGGATCTATGTCTTAAGAAAAGCTCTCCTCCCAAACCACTACAGTCCTGTGGTAGTGCCCTGCACATAACCATTTAGCATGTGTCAGATGGTGTCCCAAGTTCCATTTAACTGGCCCAGTTACTGTGTCTGGACTAACTAATGTGTGACTGCAATAAATGCAAAGCTGTGATGACAGCAGAGCTCAAGTGATTATAAAAATACACTGGAAGGATGAGTTGGATTAACTAAAACTATTTTTGAAATTATTTTTTTGAGAAATTGTTCAACCTAGCAACACTTTATTTAACCCATTGTCACTACCCCAGGAGATGCTGTCCCAAGGAGACAGATCATAGCTCTAGACAAGCAGAATTCTAAATGTACAACATTCGTGTTAATTTTGTCTCTAAGCAAAAAGTGATGTGGAATCATTACTACAACTGCAGTGAAGAAAGGTTGTCTTGATGCCGCTTTGTGTGTCTCAGCAGCCTACATATTCAAGTAAATTAATTGTTGTCTGAGTAAATCGGAGTAGGATATAGATACTAAATGATGTTAAGTGCCCCATCTTGCACTTGACATCTGTTTCCATCTTTGACCAACAGTAAATGGACATCAGGGCAGAAGGAGAGAGCTTTATGACAAAACAATTACAAAAAGCAAGCTCTGCTTTGCAACCACACAGCAGAATAGAAGTGGAATTCCACACAGAGGGACGTCCACCTTCTTTGGACATTTGTTAGATAAATCCTGCTCTCTGGAAAGTTTTCTGAGTAAAAAACCCTTTTACTTGGAAAGCCACTGGTGTTTGTTTTTTTTCTGTCAGTTCTTGCTTCATGTCTACCACCTAGTGTTGATAGGGACAGTTTCCCAGTAAAGACTGCAAGTGCGCTCTGCAGTTCTCTGTTCTGACCTGCTAAGAATTCAGTGAGTCCTTTGCCTCAGCGCGTTTGTGCCGTTCTCAACTGAACAACAGCATTTAAAAATAGATACGTATTTCTTGAAAGATCTGCTTATTTTAATGAATAAAAAGTCTTTATTTTTTTATTTGCTGGAAGAAAAAAAAGGGGGTTTTTGGGGGGCATGGTACTGAATGACAGCAAGGTTGATCTAAGCTGTTTAAATGTACTGAATAAGGGCTGGATCACACATTTTTCTGGTTCATGTGTGGAGGGAGTAAGCTGTGATTTTAGTACTCTTGGGAATGGCTCAGCATGTTCTATACCCGACTGTTGTGATGACAGGGACAGACCTTGTCCTCCTACCAAAGACAGCAGTTCTGTATGCAGGTAATACTATGCAAGTTCAAGGATGTAGCTTTGAACCAACTCATAGAGAGAGAAGAAAGATTTTTATGATGATACTGGTATTACAAGCCAAAGGAGGTTTATACTGAGAAATCAATGTAAAATGTGAAGAGTGGTAGATGAGCATACACTGGAACAACTGTATACCTGTGTCACTGTATAAATGAATATGATCAAAAAACTGATTTTTAGGGATCTTTCTCTTGATTTCTCAGAATTGTGTTAAAAATGACAGATAAATGACAGATAAAATCCACCTTGGTGGAAAGTGTTTGCCTTAATAATGTCTCTAATTAAAGAATTGACAAGAAATTAATTAACCATAGAGCAGGAAATAAAGCATTATATCCAGTAATATTTTTGTGTAAGGTTTTGTGAAGAGGGACTTGAGTATAATTTAGGCCTCTGAATATAAAGAAACCTGGTGGCTGTTGCTGCTGCAAAAGGACTTGACTGTTTGACTTCTGTTGTGCCCTTGTGTGTGCCCAGAACTAACCTGGCTTTGGCAGGGCTGTGTAGGTCTATGCCCAAACATGACTGAGATCCAGAAGGGAGTTGTTTTGCTTAAATACACTGAAAGGAAAACCCTGCAAATGCATGCCTCCCAGGCAATACAGACTGTAGAGTACTTACACAATCACCAAATGAAGCAGCATGTAGTAAGATTTTGCTGAAGCAGTTATGAGATGGCATTTGTCTCTTACCATGTCATTGCTGCCTGCACTGTTTTTATGTTTTCTGTACTTCAGTGGTTACTGGGCAAGGCAGACCCCTTGCCCAGTACAGAACAGGGCCCAGAACCCAAGCTTGCCCCTTCTACATAGGCATCAACTCTGTGTACTTTCTTTCTGGCTCATTGAATTCTCCAGTTCATTGCTGCACAGCAGCAAGCCCTCTGTGGGCAGATGGGGTTGTTCCCTCACACCAGCATAGGCAGGGGGAGAGGCTAGGAGGAGGGTAAATGCTAGCAAAGGAGTTAAAAATTGTATTTTGCCCACCAGCCCTGCCTAACCAAAAAGAAGTTCTCTTATGGCTTCAACTGTTTGGTTAATTGCAGAGGACTCAGTTGTTAGGAGGACCATAGAGATGATAACTGTAAGTTATGGGATGAAATTTTAACTCTACATGTTTTCTTTGATCAATAAAAGTATTTTTTTCTTTCAATTAAGCCTGTTAATTGTGGCATGTAGGTGAGCCGAGACATGTAGGCAGACGTAGTGTCTTTAATTAGACTGACATTACTGCTAAAAGCTCATAATTAAGGATTATGATGGGAACTCATATCTTCTTTTTAGTATAAGTGACTGAAGGTGACTATATTAAAGGAGGGAAGCAAGCATGTACTCATGTGGGTAAATTAGACTTATTTCATTTCTTACTACCCGAGAGAATCTATTTGCATGCTAATTTCATAGAAAGTTCATTAAACCAACCTGTTTTATGGCTGATGGATCAGCATAGAACTGTGTTCTGTTGAGGTCTTGCATTTCTTCCTGCTTACAAAGCCTTTCTAAAAGCAACTTTTTGCCTTCTGTTACTGTGTGTGCTCTCTCTGTTAACAGCTTTTGGAAGTGGAGTATGGTGTTTTCAGAGGCACTTTTCTTGAGTGGAACAGGTGACACCTCTGTGGACAAAAGCAAAGTATGTAGTTAGAGTGCACAAGTCAGTGAACTGCTGACGCTGAAGTTTAGCACTTGCTAAATTTTCCTAAAGCTGTTCTTCTGTTCTGCTCTTTTGGCAGCCGTGTCCTGGTGTTGTGTAAGGGGTCATTGTATAACGGAGAGTGGGAATGCAGCAGACCTTGTAAAAATCACTTACATGTGAAACTTTCAGTTTTGCCTAGCCACAGCCTTCTCCAATATGTACTTACATAATAAACAATACATGAAAGTATATTTAATCACAGAGAGTTAGCCTGTTAGTACCGTTTGTGATGGTGAACTGAGCAGGCTGTATTCAGAAATGTCATTTTCAGATCATTTGTGTTCATCTGTCTGTAGACAAGATGTCATGTTAGTATTAAAAATAGGGGTGAGTCTCCTAAAAACTAAGTTTGTCATCCTCCATTGTTCAACTTTCCCATTATTTAGGGATGATGACTGAAATAAAGAAATTGGAGTTTTCCTTAGACCTACATTTTTATCAGAACTCTTCTTTTGCAGATTTTTGTGGGTGAGAGAAGGTTAGTTTGGAGCTTGGTGTTAAGTTCTAGGATTTTTTTTTTTAGCTGTCTGAATACTGGAAATGAGAATCTGGCATCCGATTCAACAGCAGTGTTGATGATTTTAAAAGTCAGGGGCTCTTACCATCATTACATGCTTTTCTCTTGATACTCAAGGATCCTGTATTTGCTGTAACATCTCCCACTGAAACACAGAAGACAAAAATAAGGTGACTAAGTATTTTGCAGAGATTCTCAGGGCATAGCCAGTCACACACCAAAAAGTTTTATACTGCAAAAGCAAATACACTGGGACAAGTGACCTGGAGCACTAAGAATATACTAGAAAAGTTAGGTGCTCGCTTGGCACACAAAATCAGGGTGGCAACACATTTATTTGGCAGATGCCTCAAACAGATTAATAACTAAAGCTTCTTTCTTGAAACATTATTGTTTTACTGTCTCTGCATCAGCATTCACAGCCCAGATTACACAGTTCTTTTCTAGCATGCTAAAATGTAAACCATCCAGTTTGGTTCAAATACTCTTGGTGTTGACAAATTCCATTCATGAAGAGCAGAAATGAGAGTCATATCTTCAGTTTCTGCATTTGGAAGAAAATATGTCTGTAGATTGAGACTGAGCACAAGAGATAGGCAGGGGAGAAGCAGTGTATCGTCCCACAGCTGTGTGGATGTCATTCCAGCCTCAACTAATACACTACTGTATGGTGCCCTTGGACACCACATTAGGACTCTGATTCATGAGTGAGGACAGCTGACTTGAGTTCCTGCTCAAGCTGTTGATCTGGCCTCTGCTGCAGAAGGGTTCAAGTCCTCAACTAACATTTGTGGTGTTGCAAAGTATTATCTAACATATTAAGAATGATCCGAATTAGTTCTGGTTTACCATAACTCTCTGAGCTCTAAGCTGCAGAGGTTCAGTTACTTCTACAAGAGCATCTCATCTGCCTGGAGCAGGGGCAGATGCCCCTGAGGGCTGCAGCAGCTGGCCAGTCATGGGAACCCTTATAGCAGACACAAGATTAGCTGTGTGGTTCCTAGATCACAATACTTTTGATACTAAAATAGAAGCAAACTCTGTTTTAAAAACTGAATCTGCTTTAGCAAAATCAGTATATTTACAAGTGCTCAAATAAACATCACTGCCCTGGATTTTTCTGTCTCTTGACTGTGGTGTGAATTGAATTAATATAGTTTGGGGGTTTGGAGTCCTTGCACTTGGCTTGTTGCTACAGATTTTTGCAGTTCTAAATGGTACGACCTTGCAGCTCCCTACCCATCAGACTTTACATGCCTGCTATATGACCCCCAGAACCTGCCCTGTTTTCTAGAGCCATTTCATTGCATCTCATTTGGGCTTCCAAAGTAAAGATTCTCCGATAACGCTGAATGCTTCGGGTGCTTTCTGTTTTTGTTAATATTCTCACTTCTGCATGCCTGTAGAGACCATCTGTGTTCACTGAGTATTCCCTATGTAACCATGCAGATGCAGCTTCCCCAGTTATTTTCCCTCCCCACTTCTGGCCACACATTTTACCCCTACAGCATGGCTCAACAGGCAACCTTAAAATGTTTCACTTTCAGCACTTTATCTCATCACTGAAGTTTTTAGTACCTGATAGGAGACTTGAACTTTCACATCCCCAGCTTGAAGGACCCAGAGGTTGTCTTCTTAAGATACAGTCAACTTCATTGTAAAATCTCATTTTTCTCCTGGGATTTCCAAGATGCTCATTTTCTTTCTGGAGTGCACGGTATTCATATTTTAGGTTCTTGTACTTTGTGCGACATTGTTTCCAGTCTCTGTCTATGCCACGTTTCATTAACCTTCTGGCAATTTCCTCAAAGATTTCTTTATTTCTTGTGGCCCCTTCAAGCATTTGTTGTATCTTTTCATCTGACCATATGTTTATCAGAGCTCTAACTTCATTATCACTCCAGTGTTTTCCTGCTCCAGTGTCATTAACTGTAATAACTTTAAAGTGATTCTGTGCTTCTTCTAAGTGAATGTGATTGTCTGAAAATATAAACAAAACAACAACTAAATATAAATGCCATAAATATTTGCTAAATATACACATATTAAAGTATAATTGTTACTAAAGATTAATCTTTTAACTTTACAATATTAGTATCCATAGGTGATTACTTTTCTCTTAAGTATGCAAAATATGTAGCAAGTAGAATCTCTTGTTTCTCCAAGGCATGCAAAACTCAACATTTTGTCAGTGTAATTTTGTTGCTGTTGTCAAATTAAATACAGATGTTATATGTAGGAAAGCAATAGCCCTTAAGCTTTAAAGCAAAAGATTTAAGCACTGTTAAGAAAATAGCTTTCCAGTGTGGTTTCCAATTAAAATGGAAAGGCAAAATATCATGCAAATAAAAATGCTACTGGGGATTCAATAGAAGAAAAAGAAATATTCAGATGCAAAAATACTCAGAAGTAGGCAGCTATTGCTCATCAGATGAATATAGAAGGCAAAGTTGTACTACAGTATTAATGCAAGTTTTGCTCATGATAGGGAACAGAGCTATGAAACTAATTTTTAAGTTTAGTAATAAATCTAGATTGGAGTAAGAAGTAGAAAAGTAGAGCTGTGTTTACAGTAGAGATCTGGTTGCTCCAGCTTTGGTACTGAAATTACAGTGCAATTTATTTCAAGATAAATGCATGGAAATTAATACTCACCTGTTTCAACCATCTGTTTTGCTACTGGTGTACAAGATCTGTCTTCTGAGGTAGTGCTTATAGAATCATCATCTATGGAAACACACAGTTTTAAATAAAATAGACTTAGATAAATAAATTGCTAATATTATTGTCATCATCACTTAGACAAATAAATTGCTAATATTATTGTCATCCTCTGGAGAAAATACCTGCCTTCACTTAAAAATGTCCTAACCCTTTAGTCTAACCTATTAGTTACAGAATTGTAGAATCACAGAATCATAGGATCATTTAGGATGGAAAAGACCTCTAACGTCGAGTCCAACCATTAACCCAGCACTGCCCAAGTCCAGCACTAAACCATGTCCCTAGGTGCCCCATCCACATGTCATTTAAATACCTCCAAGGGTATCAACTCTACCACTTCCCTGGGCAACCTGTTCCAATGCTTGACCACACTTTTGGTGAAGAAATTTTTCTTTGTATCCAATGAGGTTATTTCCTCTCATCTTGTCACTTATTACCTGGGAGAAGAAACTGACTCCTGCCTCACTACAACCTCGCTTGAGGTGGTTGTAGAGAGCAATAAGGAAGCCTCCTGAGCTTCCTTTTGTCTAGGATTAACAACTCCCATTCCCTCAGCGTCTCCTCATAAATATTGTGCTCCAGACCCTTCACTAACTCCATTGCTCTTCCCTGGACTTGTTCCAATGCCTCCTTGTCTTTCTTGCAGTGTGGGGCCTAAAACTGAAAACAGGATTTGAGGTGTGGCCTCACCAGCGCCAAGTACAGGGTTACAATCCCTTCCCTGGTCCTACTGGCCACATAATTTCTGATACAAGCCAGGATGCCCTTGACCTCCTTGGTCACCTGGGCACACTGCTGGCTCATGTTCTGCCAGCTGTGGACCAGCACCCCCAGGTCCTTTTCCACTGGGAAGCTTTCCAGACACTTTCCCCAGCCTGTAGCACTGCAGGAGGTTGTTGTGACCCAAGTTCAGGACGCAGCACTTGGCCTCAGCCTCATCGATCCAGCCTGTCCAGATCCCTCTGCAGAGCCTTCCTGCCTTTCAGCAGATGAACACTCCTCCCCAACTTGGAGTAGTCTGCAAACTGACTGAGGGTTCACTCAATCCCCTTGTCCAGATCATTGATGAAGATACTAAACAGGGCTGGCCCCAACACTGACCCCAGGGGAACACGACTGGTGACTGGCCACCATCTGGATTTAACTCCACCACCACTCTCTGGGCCTGGCCATTCAGCCTGTTTTCTACCCAGTGAAGTGTACACCTGTCCAAGCCATAAGCAGATGTTTTCTCCAGGAGAGTGCTGTAGGAGACAGCATCAAAGGCTTTGCTGAAGTCCAGGTAGACAATATGCCCAACTTTTCCCTCATCCATGAAGTGGGTCACCTTGTCATAGAAGGAGACCAGGTTGGTCAAGCAGGACCTGCCTTTGCTAAGTCTGTGCTGGCTGGGCCTCATCCTCTCGTTGTCTTGTACATGCTATGTGGTTGCACTCAAAGTGATTTGTTCCATAACCTCTGGCAAGGAGGTCAGGCTGACAGCTCTTCTTGTAAATGAGTATCACATTTGCCAAACTCCAGACAATGTGGACCTCCCTGATTAGCCAGGACTACTCATAAATAGTGGAAAGTGGTTGAGTGAGCTCTTCCACTGGCTCCCCGGCAGAATCTACCCAAAGGATCCACCTTTGGGTGGGTCCCATCCTGCCCTAAAGACTTGTGTGTGTCTAAGTGGTGTAGCAGATTGTTGACCATTTCCCTTTGGATTATGGGGGCTTCCCTGTGCTCTCCACCCCTGTCTTCCAGCTCAAGGGGCTGGGTACCCTGAGGACAACTGGTCTTGCTATTAAAGATTGAGGCAAAGGAGACATTAAGTACCACAGCTCTTTCCTCAACCTTTGCGAGTATGTTTTCCCCTGCATCCAACAAAGGATGGTGATAAGGTATCCCTCCTTGTGTTGCTGATGTATTTATAGAAACATTATTGTTGTCTTTTACAGCAGTAACCAGATTAAGTTCTAGTTGGGTTTTAGACGTTTTCATTTTCTCCCTGTATTAACCTCATGATATCTTGGTAGTCCTCCTCAGTTACCTGCCTGTTCTTCCAAAGGCCATAAAGTCTCCTTTTTTTCCTGAGTTCCAGCCAAAGCTCTCGGTTCAGTCAGGCCAGTCTTCTTCCCCACTGGCTTGTCTTTTGGCACATGGAAATTATTCCCTCGTGACTGGACTTCTCTGAGGCTGAAAGTTCACTTTTTTGTGGAATTACTTTTAGGTTTGGGAGGAAGAGAAAGATTAGTTCTCATTGTTTTGGTAGGGGATGCCATAGACCAATTATTTTCAATACTGTTTTCAGTAAAGGGTAGAAGTAAATATTCCTTATATGTTTTGAAAAACTGAGTGCTTAGTTTAGGCTCTGTCAGAAATAAGAGACAGTCTGTAAATAAGCAGGTTCATTTGATGTGCTTTTCATAATGGTACTTGCTAATATATGCACAGAGCAGTACTTGGAATTCCTATTTGCTCTATAACTTGTTTTCTCTTAAGTGATTTGGCAAATACTTGTTTTTCATAAGCATGTACAGGAATAAATATTATACGTATGGAAAACTTAGAATCAGAAATTATAAGCATGTGTGATTTACTTGGAGTACTTGAAAAAAAGTGGTTATTTCATAAATATGCACCCTGTAACTTTCTGTAACTTTTCTTGGGAAAATTCTTGCATCTTCCTTAACACTTGCAGCTATTGGAGATGGGCCAAAATTGAGTTGTAGGTTGCTCCTAGGCTCTTAATGGATTTTTTTTTTTAATTTCAACTATTACCAAAACCCCCCCTGGCTTTCATTTTATGTGCTCGTTCTCTCAACCGTACTGTCTCTCTAATCTCTTTCTGGTTTTGGCAATGGCACCTTTGTAGTGCTTACTTGTACAATTACTATCCTCAGTTGGGTATTACCTGACAGGAACAGGGAATTTGTGTGTATAAGTTGATCTTCATGACATTTTATTCTCTGCTTCACATTCGTGTGACCTCACTATGTCTCAACTTTCGGGGTCACATATTAACTTTATCCTCAATGTAACTTGTGTTTCTGTGTGTCATTGTTGTGATGGCACTGCTCTGATGTTGTCCTCAGTGTCATACTCACCACAGTTGTCTTTAATAATCAAGATCAGCCAATGCAAACAGTTGTAAAGGCTGTGCTGCACTGGGTGTCTCAACACCCAAATTCCAGATAACGTAATTGCTGAGAAGGAAGCTTTTCCCTGGTATGCCTGATGCATACAATGGAAATATCCTTATGGCAGAAACTTTAGGTGTCAGAGGACAAAGAACTGTTCAAAGAATCATTATAATTGAAATTTTTTTTTTTCATTAACTTCTGCATGCAAACAGCACTACTGTGAAGTATATTTTGATCCAGGGGGTCAGGTCACTAGATTTCAATGTCTTAATTATTTCCTCTGATGTATTTTTTTTTCATGATCTTCTGTGGTTTCTATGCTCATTTATTCCAGAATATTGATATCCCTGCTGTGTTCTAATGTTAAATTTTAACATTTTAAATAAAACAAATCTTCTCCTGATTACTTGTGATTCAATATATGATTTCTTCATATTGCTAAGGCTCTGATTTCAGTTTTACTTGTGAAGTTTGAAAAGACAGATGAGGTATAAAATGTTCTGGGTTTCTGAGACAGCTATTTAGCTCTCCAGTTGATCCTCTCTAGGTACTGTGTAAGAAAAACTGTATTTGTATCAAAATCAAATGCAGACTAATCACATCTAGCATAAAAAGAGGCATGTTGTCTGGGAAAATAAGATTTTGTTATAATTATTGGAAGGAGAAATAACAGTTTATACATTGTTGCACTGTGAAATCAAGCAAAAACCATATTTTATCATCATCAAGACGCAGATTGAGTATAATTTGCCAGGATAACATGTGAACCTTAGAAATCTGCAATTCACAAGACAATCAAGACAAAGTCTTGACCTACCTATGTCAATTGTCTCCTTCTTTATTTGTGTGGCTTCCAGAGCTGCTGGAGTGGAGTTGACAAAGTCCCCTTCATCCGCAAGGATTTCTGTAAAAAATAATAATTTACAGAGTTCCTATTAACTAAACAGGTTTTGAGTGATGTCTTTAGAATCACCAACTTCAGAATGCCATTCATAACTATTGTTCAAGATTTCCTCTCTTAAGAAAATAAAGCTGCCATTTCTCTGTAGTAGTGGGCTGCAGAGTGTAACCACTTGTTTATTAAAGTACAGCCAGAACACCACATAACAGATGCATAATATAAGTTTATGGGATAAATGTGCAAACTTTTAAGTTATTTAAACCTGGATCAGAATTTGTAGAATGGTTCGCTGATTGTGGCTGAAAGATACAGAGTAACTGATGAACATGTGGGCTCCAGAACAGGCAAGACCGTGACTTTCGTAAGGGGTGCAATACATACTGAAATTACTGAAAGACTCCCAAGTGATGCCAAAAGTGTCTGAATCAGCTTCAAAAGGGGCAAGGGCCCTGACATTGAGTCAGAGTGCTGTGCCTGGACAACTGATCTCCAAGGCTGCCTGGCTGCCTGATGAAAACAGTGTCCTAATGCCTGTCTGAGAGCATCTCCCTGCTTCAGCTTGCGAGGGGTTTACATGACACAGCTGGGTGACAGAAGTGTCCCTGGGCTCCCCTCCATGGGGAGGAGATCTCTGCTACTCTGCCATTGGCCCACTGGTGTTTAAGGGAGAATTCCACCCCTCAGGCAGGTGGATTATGCAACTGGTCTAGCTGATCCTCGCTTCCAGGTGAGGACACTGCTCTACAGAGATTAAATGGTGAAGGCCACACCACGGATCAATGAGAGCAGTTTTTGGCTCCCAGCCTGTTCTCGTCCACTCAAGAATATTGCCCCTAAACATTGGGCAATAAAGTTTAATCTAGAGCCATGTTATTAAAAATTACCCCCCCAAATCAATACAGCCTTGTTTGCATCAGATGTTTTTTACTATGTGACCAGCATCATGTGCCTTTTTCTTTTCTTTTTTTTTTTCTTAGCGAGCCAAGAATGTGGGTAGGGAGCCTGGCTTTTTTTCTAAGGCACCTTTCAGGGTTTTTGGTGGGAGGGCACGAGAAAAGCAAGACTGAGCCAAACAGAACAAGCCATCGACAATTTCTGGCATGGATAAAACAGAGTGGCTCCATCTGCATTGTTCTGTGAACCTATAGACAGTTGCCAGCAAATATGCTTAATCTCTGCTTTGTGTTTGAAGCATTGCTCTCAAGGCCACCAGAGCAATGCTGTCACAGTCTTTCCTTTTACCCACTCAGACTGATACAAGCTCTGTTCTCTTTTGGCACTCTGTCACTACCACTAATTATCCTGTTTTCTGGCTCATGGGGCAAGATTAGTAATTTGTCTCCTAATCCTTACTCTCATGTGTGTCTTATATAATATAAAAGGAAAGTGGGAAACTTCAAAGCTATGGAAACTTTTCAGTGCATGGCTTATGTTTACTCTCCAAGAGCTTGCAAAGTTGCAGCCATCTCTGCCATACACATCTATGAGTGTGGATACAGAAAACTTGAATGCACAGTTAATTAAGAGTTTGTGTCTGCAGCCCTAATATGCTTAGGCTAAGCCAGTGAATAATCAAGAATTTTTGGTTTTGCACATCTCTGAAACACTACTTCTCACTAGCCTGGGACATATGTATTAAAATATTATCTTTTGATTTTATAGCTGTACGTTTCAAAATTCCAAGCACACAGCAGGAAGTGTTCAAGCCAACATTAAGTACCTGAGTATGAACTGACTTAAGATCTTAACTTTAAAAAACAGATTTTTAAAAAGCCCTTGCTCAGGAATGTATTTGGCAATGTCATGACTTATTCCAAATTTGTTCTGAGAGGGACATATAGTAAGTGTGTGGGGCACCAAAAATCCTAAAAAACAATGACAAAAAAAGTAATTTGTTTAAAGCAAAATACTTGCTCTAGATATTTTTAAGAACATCAGGCTACTGGCATTCCTTAGAAATGTGTTTTCATCTCCACTATTATTACCTGGCAGTTCAGATTTAATCAAAACACCTATATGCAGTCTGTGGTCATACTCCAAAGTCTGACCCATGTGGAATGTACATGGAGTTTGAAGTGATGGACTACTACCTGTGCAAACTGAAACGATTGGCTCTTCTGAATAGATTTCCGTAATTAACTGCCCTCTAAAGTGATACCATGAAATAGAAAACATCAGTGAGAATAACTAAGTAAGGGTTTTTTTGCAGATGGATTCAATGCGGGGTGTGTTTTACCAGAAGAGAGAGCAATCAGCAGTGTCCCCAGCCTGTCCCATCCCAGGCGGCTTTAGCTGAAAACCAGCGGCGCTGGGGATTGCTGTGGTGCTCCTGCTCCCCCAGCTGGGCAGTGCTCACAGCGACGTGCCAGTAACAGCGACAGGCTGTGCAAGGAACAATGTGTAAGGATTTATTTAGCTCTGTCTTTTCCTTCTCAGGTGGGCATTTGCTGCTCTTTGAGTAACAAATACATGTGGATAGAGGAGAAAAACAATACCATGACACATGAAATAACTAGGTGCTTTCCTGAAACTTGTGTTTTTGTCTTTTGGCTAACACCATATTAATATTTTCCTTACTCTAGAGTATGGCAAACCTGATTGGGCTGTTTAATAAATATTATTATTTAATAAATATTGGCAGTGGTTACTAAGTTACTGTGGCTCTTAATTCAGATTCATATGTAAGATCTGAGAAGCACATGCGGTCCTGAATCTGGAGCATTAACTGGATCTCACAAAGAGCTGTTAATGATTTTTTTCATATTTTGTCTCTCTCAAAATGACGTCCCTATAGGCAATGCACTTTTCATGATAAGCTATTTTTCCTCCAGTGAATTCCTCGTGGTGATCTGGTAAAAGGCCAGTTACTTTTTTTTATTGATTAGTAAATTTAAATTCATAAATGTAATTTCTCTTGAATGAAAAAGCCAAAAATACTACTGTCTGGTATACCTCGAATTACCTCTCATGATCAACCATGTCTTTACTTACTTGTCATAGCTGTTTCTTTTATTATATGAGGAGCGGCCCGATTCTCTGGAGTAGTGTTTACAGTAACATCATCTGTCAGAAAATTTTTAATCTGATATTAAAATCTTTAAGTTGATGTTAGACCATTTTAAATTCTGTAAAACTACTCCTTAGTGCCTAATATAGACCACATTTTGCAGGGGATTTAAGTCTATCAGCCTTCATGTGTTTTTAACTGAATGTTAAACTCCTGCTTCCCCTGAAAGTTATGCTTTCAGATGTAAACCATAATGTTTCTTTGTAAAGAGCAGAGCTTAGGACCTTCATATTCAGGACTAGTAGTGAGACACCTAAATGAAGTTTTCATCCCCTGACGTGAGCATTTACACAATTATATTATGCACTGATCACATTATATTGTGAGAAAAGAATGCTGTAATAGTTCATGCACACGAGACTGAACAATTCTAATCCATGGGAATACAAGATTAAGGAAAAGTAAATGCAGTAGTACATTGCACTCAGCTTGCTTAAATCAGTAGTCTCTTATTCTTTACATCTTTGGTCATGAATCTTTGAAATGATTAATTACTATACTGTTTTTATAAAATTCAGCAGCACATAAACCCGTTATGGTTATCACTATGACATTAGTTCCTGCTAATAAGTTTTTTTGTTTTGTGCATTTTCTAACCATAATTACAATCTGGGCTTATTTTAGAAATAATTCTTAATTTACTAAATATAGGTATTTATATAAAATAGAAGACTTTTTGGTTTACCTGAATCAGAAACTTTCTTTATATCTGCAACCTGTAGGTCTTCAGACATATTACTAACAGAATCCTCTTCACCTGTGTCTCCAGGCATTTCTGTGTAAATAATGCTGAGTTAATTAGGGCACTGAATTTGTGTACTACATAAGAATAGCTGTGCTGTGTCAAATCAAAAAATCCATCCAACCTCAGATGCTCTTTATGCCAGCAGGAAAAGTAGGTGCATTAGCAAAATGTCTGGAAACGGAAAGTGAAGAGTGAATCTTCCCCCAAAATGTTCTCGTAGTTTTCAGCCAGAGACTGTCTTTGTGTTATATTTTTCTTACCTTCTTTTATTTACTAACTTCTAGTCTTACATTTAGCAAACATAATGTCAGCCCCTGTGTAGAATCCCTACTGTGCAGTAAAGAGTTTTAACGTTTAATTCTGTTCTTAAACAACAGGCATGTTTCTGTTTGTACAAAATAAAACAAAAATATTTTAACTCCTGGGTAGTGTACTCCCATCAGTTTACTCTAATTCTTCACTGATCATCCATTACTATGTTAATCCAAAATAATCACCCAAAACCAAAGGCAGGCTCTGCCAGCATTCTTGGCACTGCTGCTTTTTCCGTTTTGACAGTTCTCTCACTAGTTTGGGAGAGGCTAGTAAAGGCTGGTAAAACTGAGCTATTTGGCAACATAAGATACAGTTTAAATGTGGGAGTTTTTTAACTAATGTCTAGAAATAAAGATTTCTTTTGCTCAAGCTTTTAATTTTTCCAGTAACATAGTCTAACCATCTCTCTGATCCATTTCTTTTCTCTAAACTGGAAACAGTTTCTTCTGGTGTAGTTTTGACTGGAATTGTCACTTTAACTTATCCTATGTCTTCATCTTTTCTTCCTCCTTATGTCTCTCAGTTCTTTTAAAAGTGCAGGGCAATCACTGAATGTGAAATAGTACCTTATAAGACAAAACTACTAGACAAAATAGTAAATTCCCATTCAGTGTTCCCTCCCCCCCCCCTCCCCCCAGCAAATTAGTTAATCCTTCTGGTTGCTTCTTTTGAGTTGTTTTAAGGTCTCTCTAGTTCGGGAAAATTAAAAATTTTAAATTATATATGGGTGGTTGAAGTACTTACCTATGGAGTCCTTTCCTGATTTTGCTTCTGTCCATTCTGGAGGCCTCTCACTTTCATCATTATCTGATTTACTTGCTTGTTCCATGGTGCAGTGCCCCAGAATAGCATCCAGTTCATTAAAAAATTTCATACTTTTACTTGTACTCCCTGAGTCTTGGGCACTTTTTACACTCTTGTATTCATGTTTCAGATTTTTATATTTTGTCCTGCACTGCTTCCAGTCCCTGTCAATTCCAAACTTTTGAAGTCTAGCAGCAACCTGTTCAAATATTCTTTTATTTCTCACTGTCCCCTCCAGTTGTTGCTGGATATTTTTGTCTGACCATATGCGTATCAAAGCTCTGACTTCATTAACAGTCCAGTGTTTTCCTCCTTCATTTGCTACTGTTGGAATAAAAGCCAGTGGTTTGGAAGCCTCTATTGCTGACGCTGGATTACCTGCATTGTGTGGGGTAGGGGAGAGACACAGATATGGGTTACCTGCATTGGCTGGTTGGGGTGGGGAAAGAATAGAGAATGAGAATGAAGTATGCTGTTTCCTCATTACTTGTCTCTCCAGAGAAAGATGGAGCAGAGGTAACATTAAAATCAAGCCATTGGTTATGAATTTGTCAGCATTTTTGTTAATTCTGATACAATTTTTGCCTTCTCTTGAAGACCAACAATCAGATAGCACATGCACATTTAATTAATCTGAGAGGAACATTTCTTTCTTCTGTGCCTTGATACCCTGAACTTTAACTTTTAACGGATGAGCTGTTTTGTCCTTCAGATATTAGAGAGAAGAGTGCTGTTGGGAAGACTGGATGTGCTGCATTAGCACAATAATAAATCAGGCCCCAAGTCATTGATATTAGCATCAAGACTTACTTTCTGCATTCCTGCCATACTTTTGGTTTTACACAGATGGAGATATTTAAACTTGGTAAGGATCTGAAGAATCTGATCTTTAACTCTTAACAAAACACCCTGGTTTTGGGGAGCTGAGGAATGGAGACTTTTGCTTCAGTTGCACAAGAACATTTGTGTGACAACAAACTCAGTTCTCACGCCACAGGACCTCCACCTTTCTCAGGGTAGGTCAATCAAAAATAAGTGTGAGGTTTTTGGTAAAAAAAAAGAGTTTGAGTTATCTTTCTCTGCAAAACTAAGATACATTTCAGTTTTCTCCGATCTTCAATTTTATTTTTTATTATTATGAGGTAAAGCCTGCTACCCATGCAATAACTTAAAACACTGAAATATGATATCTTTCAGTTTTTTAATATTCCCTTGTTTCTAATTATGAATTTTCGGTAAGACTTCCTTTTGATTATCAAATTAGTTTGGAAAGTGGCTTCCTAATGCATTTGCCAAATCTTTGCAAAAATAATGATTAAAAAAAAAAGACCAAACCAAAAAAAAATCCCAAAACCAATTCCAGGGCATCATCATGAAAGAGCAAATGTGAAAGTGCACAGTAACTGACATTTTTTTTGCAGTCATACTGAAGTGATAAATGCCTTTGCCAGTGTCTTATTCTACAAGGGCAAGCCAGATTATGAAGGTTGGATACTTCATAGTCACAGAGCTTTGTGCAGTGGCAAAAGTACCTGACCTTTGTTTGTGCACAGAGCTTCAGTGGAGCATACTTGTATATAGTAACCCATCTGGGGACAAACTTGTCCTAGATAGTGCCATTCTTTGCTAGTCCCTATAGTTCATTCTAGTTCTGAATAAGCTGTACTAACAGGTACTATTTTTTTTCCCTCATAGTCCTTTGTTAATCAGGACTCTGCAACAGCCAGCTCACTCATAAGTTGTTGAGGAGGGTAATTTTCAGGTGACGCATCAATTATGTTTTCTTCATTTTTTCCTGAGGGAGTGAAAGAAAATGCTGATTTACAGGTGAATGAAACCATAGGAATTGCCATAGCTGATAACTGCCAACATCATGATAGGCCAGAGAGGAAAGGCCTATGGGAGGAAGAGGGGAAGAACACAGGAGGTGCTCCCTCCACTTCCCAGTCAAAGCCATAGAGCATGGGGCAATTTGGGAGGAGTAAGGTTTCTTTAGTCTTCGTGGAGGCCAGTATTTCTCAGTTCATTTCCAACTGAGCTCACTTTCAGTTGTGGATATTAGTTCACATCAGTTCTGGTGACTCAGTATATTGAACCTTCATTCTGCTGTATGCAGAGTAGAAAATGGTGGGTATGTTTATTCCCCATTTCCTTTAAAAAACATTGTAATTCAAGATATCCTTCCTACAAGCACTGCTTTGAAACAAAGTTGTTACAGTCAGTGTGAAAATTTTTCTTATGTCTTAACTGTATTTTTGTTCTAATTTGTTTTTAAAGCACATTGATTGGACATATATTATTACTTTATCTGAAAGATGCATTTATGCCATATTTAATTTTTTTCTAAGCTTCTCAAACCTGAGAAATCCGCTGAAATAAAACCAAAATATTAACAATATAGAGAGAAAGGGCTCAACATTTTTCTTTCAATGATGTCTAAAATAGTGCCTGAAACCTAAAGACTAAACGAGGTAACTAGGGGAAGGAATTTTAGTACCAGTACATACTTGAGATTGAGAGCCCATGCAATTAAAGTTTTGTAGAAAGCAGCTTCCTCAGAACGGAACTTTTCTGCTTGTCAATATGCTGAGCACTGAGAAACACTGGAATATTTACAGACATATTCCTGTAAAATTTAATGCATATACTTTCTGCAAGAAAAGTTTTCTTTATGTGCGTGAGGTATTTTATGTGGGCATAAATTCCATGTGAGATTCTGGTCTCTTCCTTAATTTCCTTTTATGCAGACAAGAGGGGTGTAGTGTGTAATATAAAAGCTGTAGGCTTAGCTAGGGCCTTATTTTTTTCCTGAATACAGCACCACAGAGATACTGTAATGAAAGTTGTTGTAACTGGACTGTAATGTATGCGAAGGCATACAAGGTATATAAAAAATGGAAAAAGCACGTAGGAAATTCAGGACAGTGGTGCTATTCATCCAGGTAAGGAATTAGCTCATCAGTTGCCTAAATCTGCCTAAAATGTATTTAGGTTTCTCCATTCCCTTCAGCCACCCCTTGAAGGGGCTCACACCGAGGCTCCTCTTCCTCCTTCTGGCTTGCCAGGTTTGTGCCTTCGCTCTGTAATGCCTTTCCTGAGCAAGACTACTAGAGTAGTCCATTTTCTGAGTAAGTTATTCTGCGGTTGGTTGGACTAGAGCATTGCTGACCACCCCTTCCATGGAGAAGATAAGCTAGGGAAAAGCCACAAGTTGATATGGGTATCCACCCTAGCATTTGGCATACTTTCCACTAGCATTTAACAAAATTAATGTGTTTAATGCAGTTAATATGGTTAAGCTATAGCTTGGGCTGTGTTTTGCATGTGAGTGGTGGTCACACAGGTGTTACAGCATATACAGTGGTCAGTGTCTAGTGATGCACGAGGCTGCTGAGTGCCAGCACTGGGAAGGAGATGGTGCAAGACTGTCTTTATTTAAGCTGTGTTGATCAGAACAGAACAACGGCATATTCAAGCTATCAGAAAGTGCTCTGACAACCCATGCTGGCTTTTAGTTTTTGATTTCTCTGCACCATCATACTATACCTAGTTGAACTGGTCTGACATGAGACATAAAGAGTAGTGGATCTCCTGGAGCATCCTCATCATCTTCTAAAGAAACAGATAGTTCACCTGGGAAGGAAAGAGTTTTTAGGTGAAAAATAGGTATGGACTAATTTAGCTTAAATTAGTTTAAGTTAAAATGTCCATACACAGTGAGATGATCTTGGTAATCTCTACACTTAACTTGTAGTTAAATTTAATTTAAAATAATTTTGCCTCTCCCCATAAGAGGACATGAGTTACAGGAGGTAAATTATTTTATATCTTGCATATGAAGCCTGTTTGAAATGCTTTTTAAAATTCTTGTAGAAACTGGCATGATTCTAGTGACTTGTACGCTCTTCTGACTCAGTGATCAGAGTAGAGAGCACATGAAATGTATAGTTTGAAAGTAGATAATGTAAACTAAGAGACATAAAGGCAGATTTTGCATATAGTTTCAGATAACCACAATTTCATTTATACAATAAAAAAAATAATTCATAGAAGAGTTTGAAGAAAACAGTAATGTTCTGGAAGGAGTTCTGGAAATCTATGAAATTCATTAACAGTATAGAGAGACTGTGAAAGTATATATTGTGACTTGAGAACAGACATATTTGGAGCTGACAGGATTCAGTCTAGCTTTTTCAAGCATAGTATTTCTACATTTGTTTAAAAAAGCAACATTAGAGCAATTGCTATGTAAGGTTGGAAAGCAGGATAATGTAAGTCAGGTTCTGAACCAGCTTAGTTTTCACAGAGGACAAACTTTTAAATTGTCCAGTGATAGTATGCTGTATTCAACGTACCATTTTGACAGGAGGTTTGAAATGTTGGTGCACTGTACAGAGAGCTGAGCTACTGTGAGCTCCAGCCAGGCAGGGCACACAGATCAAAGCTGCCTGCTCCAGGGCTCTGCCCTAGTTCGTCACAGGGAACAGTAATGAGGCGTGGTTAGGATGCAACCTTGTAGTCCTGACGTAGGTGAAACTGAAAACTGCATTTGAAAACATTATCCTAAATCCTCCTGACTTTCAGCAAGGCTCACAGTGACTCATAGATGCAGTGGCCTGATCTCTGACTGCTCCCAGCTGTCCGCTTGGCTTCTCTGGCAGGAGCTGCTGCTCATGCCTCCACCTCCAGCGACAGGACGGGCGTTTTAGCTACTTAGGAGCAGCAAAGCAAACCAGGGAGAAAGAAATAAATTCTCTCTTGGAAGCCTGCTGAGTGTGCTATCGGCACTAGTATGAGCAACTTTAATTACACTGTCATATTAAAAAATAACTTTGTATTTTAATTAAATAAGAACAGTTACCACAAAAACATATTAGTATCTTTGATAGGGGAAAAAAAAAAAAAAGCATTTGAAGAGTAAAAAAGTTAATATAAGTACTGCACACTTATTTTAAAAAAGCTTTATAAAATACTTGTCAATCACATGTTTAATGTTAAAGTCCAGACATGGAATACTATGTATGAGTGGCACCTTCAAGTCAGCATTTCTGCATTTTAGTAGCTGTCTAAGTTTTGTGCATATGATAACACTGTTCTTATGATGCATTTCTGCTCAGACTTGATAAGCTTTTTGCATTTGTTGAAGTAAAGTGAAGGTCAGCCAAGGTGACCAGTACCTTAATACTTAAACATAAAGAAAGAAATATAAAAGAGACTAAATAACATTAATTACTATGTGAGCTTTAATTTTTCTGTAGATAATATATTGATTTATTAATACTTGGTTTAACTTGAAACAGTCAAAACTGGTTAACAAAATAGGAAGGTCGTTCATTTGAATTCTAATGCATGATACCATTTTTCATAGTGCACCATCACTCTACATGGATTTTCTTGGTTGTTGATTACTGGAATAATACACAAACTACATTTTAAGAGAAGTGAACATGTTTACTTATGTCTTTTTTAATGATAATTTAAGCTACAAATCTGCCTCTGAAAACGTGTTTTGGGAGGGCAACATGAACATCTCTGTTTGCACTTCTATATGTGCTTATGTATAAAGTGTCATCTTTTCATGAACAAGCTGTATGTTGCTACCAGGTTTGTCCCAAGACACTCCTCTGAGATTTGATTGAGATTTTCAGTAATAATTTCTTCAACTACACTTTCAAAAGAAAACTGATTTTACCAGATAAGGAAAAAAAACAAACCTCAGGGAAACACTACTGAAATACCATTCAATCCTGCTAAAAAAAAAAAGTCTCTTTTCTTTCCTTCCTTCCCCTTCCTCGCCCTCCCCAGTAATCTCCCAGTAGCTGAGATAATGCAAAGATGTGCTATGTATCTTTACTTTAAGAATGTGTATGAATATTGAGACTGTGGCTAAGCAGAATGGTAAATATGTGGTGATTTCTTTGGGAGCTTGCCCAGTTCCTTGTCATGCTTTTTAACAAAACAAATTATTATTGCAACCAAGTTCTTCAAATAAAATAAGACTAGCAAGGTGAACAAGTATTATTCATCACAGGTTTTAGTTTCTTGATAGCATTTTGTTCTTGCTACCCAAGTCACAAGCTTAGACATCCTTGATTCCTCAACCCCTGTCAAAATGAGATGTCTCTGCCTCTTTCAAAAGAGAGGAGGGACCATTTTTTCCTCCTCTCCCATTACACTCTGGTTGAAAGCCCAGGAGGGGAGGTGCAGTCCGTTCTGGGGCAGGGGCAGTGAGCTGCCCTCGCCTGTGCAGAGATTTACCTTCTCTTCTGTGGGAGCGACACTGTCAGATCTGCCCCCACAACAGAACTTGAGAGCATCAGCTGCAGAGCCACTGATGACATTTTAGCCTTAAAAGTGCCCTTCAAAGGGCAGGGCACTGGGCCCCTACTGGGCCGGGCAGGCATGTGGAGTGGGGCTGAGCCTCCAGTACAGTGTTAGTTACTTGACTTATAGGCTTAAATAAGAAAGTTGGTGATCTCACAGCTGTTCCCTCTGCCCCTTGTTATGGATGTATGCACACATTCTGCATAGATGCAGGACACATTTCTAGCTTAGTGTGTTTGTGGCTGAATTGTAGTTGTTGCGAAAATCTTTGCATTTCAATTTTTGCCATTAGTGTTTCAGTTATTACAGTTAGATGCATTTCATTTTTGTTTATCCATAAAACTTGTTTGTTGCTATTTTTTTTGGAGGGAGTAACAGAAATGCTGGTGCATTTAAGAGATATATTTAATTATATCATCTTTAAAACCAGACTGTCCTAATGCTTCAAAATGAGGTATGTCTTACCCAGTGATAATTTTTTTAATATATATTGTACTTTGGGATTCACAGCTTAAATTATCTTTTGCTGATTTAAATTCGCTAGACGCCTAATGCAGATCGGAATTAGAATTACCAGGTGCCAACTACAACAAAACACAGAGGATAATCTAATGGCTGATCCTCAGGTGAAGGACATTATATTAGTTTTGTGTAGTCCTCAAAGTGTAACAGCCTTGTATTAGCCTCAGTTCTGCACATTTAAAAATAAAAAAAGGATTGCAATATACAGTGCAGAGAGCACATTAAAATATTATAAAATGGCCATTTTAATTTGAAGTGATATTGACAGATTCGAGGCTTTCTGCTGGTGATGACAAATTAAGGTCAAGCTTTTTGTTAAGGTAAATAATGACAAGAAAAATGGCAATTTCTTTTCCTCAAATCTGTAAAGCATTATTATCAAGAGAGATGTGAAAGGGTACCAGGACAAGCTAAATGTCCAGTCCCTCTCTCTGCCTTTGACAATCTCCCCTGGCACTAATGTTTAGTTTTTTGTTTTCTTGAAAAAGATTCACAATCTTAATGTAAATTGCCACATACTGTGGGAACAAACAGGTAAGCTTTTAATTTCTCTTTTAGTCATCTTATTTTAGTACTTTATCATCAGGACTTATGCTTCAATGGCATTTAGGATGTGACATGGAGATTTGAGTGATGTCAAATAGCAGATTGACCCTAATAAAATGTTAAGCAGAGCTTAAATGCATATGTAGAGAAGGTTGAATAAAACAAGAGATGCAAATAATTTAGCGAAACCCCCTTCAGAATAAAAGCAGTTGTATTCATTTGATCTGCCTCAAAATAGTCTGATAAATATGATAATTTTTTACTTTCATTGCAAAATTAGAGTTTTTAATGAGAAGTTATTAAGCATCTGTTTCTCAAGTATTTAAGTAAAATTGCTTACAAAATAATTTCATTTACCTTGAGTTTTCATACCTAAATATTAAGTTACAGAGAAACAAGAATAAAAATCCTAAATCACTTGTATTACAAATAATGATTTTTAAAACACCATGACAGTTTTAACCTTTTGTCAGTACATTTACATCTGAATTGTAAAAACCTGCTTCCAAAGTGTACTGCAAGCGAATGGCAAAGGGAAAGAAAACAGCTTTTTTTAATTCAGCGTTTCAACCCAGTGCAGGAGCCTGGACACCAGCGAGTACTCACAGAAGCTGCAATACAGGCAGCTAGCATAATTTTGCTGGAATTACGCTGTATTTACAGACTTCGACACTGGTGGGTGCTAACATTTTATTCCCCTGTGCGAGGAGTGCATCCAGTCACTTCCAGCAGTGCTGCCGGGGCTGCGCAGCCTCCACTCCGGCACCAGTGAAGTCGGGCTTCGGTTTTGTTCCCTTTGTTTTTTAAGCAAAGAGAGAAAAATAGAAGCAAAAACAGGTTTTTTACCTTGTGCGCTGTCTGTTGTGGGGCTTGTGTTCAGCTGCGTCTCAGTCGCAGAACACCTGCCGTTCTCTTCTGCTGCTAATTGTGTGACAGGCTCATATCGCAATATGGCATCCAGATCATGGAAAAACTTCATGGTTTTAGTGACATCCCCAGAGTTGTGGGCATATTTAACCGTTCTGTATTCGTACTTCAGGTTTTTGTACTTTGCACGGCACTGTTTCCAGTCCCTGCACACTCCCAACTCCTGTAACCTTTTAGCAATGTAGATAAATATTCCTTTATTCCTCAGGGTGCCGTGCAGTTGCTTTCTGATATTTTTTTCTGACCAGACGCTTAACAAGGCTTTAACCTCCTCCTCAGTCCAGTGCTTCCCTGCTCCACTCTCCATGTTGAAAGTGACCTGGAAATGATTCACTATTTCTAGCCAAGATTTTGTTTCCTAGGAAACCAGACGGCTGGTTGTCAGTAAGCTCCGCCGAGATGAAAGGATCTGGTTTTACTGGCTCAAGCTGCCAGAGGGGAGTAACTTGAGACACTGCCAAATAAGCAGGCTCGGCGCTGGAGCCCGGCGAGGGAAGCGGCTCCGGCCACGGGGAGGGGAGACCCCGGCTGGGCTGGGGCTGCTTTAACCCTTCTTGGGGACGAGGGCGTCAGTGCGGGCACCGGGATGTGGGGANAAAAAAAAAAAAAAAAGAGTCATGCTATTTCGTTCCTTTAAGGGAAAAAAAAAAAAAGGCAACAAACAAACGAAAACAAAGCAACATGACACCCAGCCGCCCCCACACACACTCTTCTGGCCTGCCCTTTGCCGGGTGGGCGCAGAGCATCTCCTGCTCCCGTGGGGGGGCACGGGAAGGCCGCCATGCTGAGCCTTCCCCCAGGCAAGTGGCACATCAGGATCACCCTGCCTGGCATCTTCACATCTCCACGCTCTCATTGCTTTCGAACTGATGGCCATATATACGCGGTTTTCAACTCGTATTAGTGGGGTTTTAATAAAAAGCTGGCGTACTTAAAAGTCTGGCTCAGCTGGCAAAGTGATGTAAGCTTTGTGGCAATGACACTGAGCTCCCGTGTCTTTTGTGTGTGCGACATGTAAGGTGTAACCCAGCACCTTGACCAGGGCCTCCTTTGGGGTGTCTGCTTCCCTCTTCCTCCCTATTGATTTTGTTAATATTTAAAGGGACCATGACAGTATTAAAATGGAAATTGCCTGTAATGTTAACATTGTGACTACAAGTTGCTGAATGCAGTGTTATCAACCCTTAAGTTTTACCATCAGTCTTTGTGTTTATAGATAGGACATCTTCTCGAGTTAAATTAAATGGCTTTAAAAATGTTCTCATCTCTGAATTTTTTCTTTGAAGATCTATGTCACACTAACAGGGTAAATTTGTTCAGATATATGTGAATTTTGATTTGTTTGCTTTCTCTGAGCAAATGTTCTTTAAAATGTTTGCTTTACATACAACTGGGACTAGTAACAAAGGGATTTTAGGAACTGGAGAAAATTGCTAATGAGCATGGTCAGTTGTAGATTAGCATCCATCCATTCTGTAGATTTTTTTTGTGGCCAATTTTATAGTTGCTTATAGTAAATAATTCCAGTGACTTCAATTGTGTTAAACTAAAATAGGATCTTTGGATAATATTCTAAAAATATTTCAAGTCTTTTTTAAGAAAAACATCTTTCCTTTTCAGATATTCTTATATATAAGAGTGGATGGGAACTCAGTAGTCCACCAAAGTTCTGATGAGTATTAAAGGCACAGCAGGTACATAGCAGCAGTTTTATTAGAGGCAACACTCTACCTTATTCAGGAAGCCTTTTAAAGGGAGATGGAACAGCCTGAACTGTTACCCACAAAAAAAATCCAGCCTGCAAAGCAAACATTTTCAATGGATAAGGACTGAATTCCAAACCATGGGCAGTTGCACAGAGTTCTGCCTGCCTTCAGCAGGACAGCATCAGGGCACCTGGAGTGCACCCAGGGGACCGACCCAGCGTGGAGAAGGGCTGGCAAGGACAGGCAGCAAAACAGGGAAAACTCCCTTATTTCAGCTGAATCAGCTCTTCTGCTCAACAAAGCACAACTGCCAGCCTGAGGCTGATGTGCTGTAAGAGAAGTATTTCCATTTGCAGTAACGCTTTTACATGAGACTTGTTTTGCTTGAGAAGTGGAGATGCCCAACATTAGGTTTATGCAGTCAAACGCTTTTATCAGAGGGTCTGTGTAGCTTTTCGAGGTGTAAAAGCTAGCTTATCTGCTAAAGTGCAAAAAGGCAAAAGCTTCTGCATAGGTGATCAGTGGAAAAGATAAACCATTCCCATAGGCAAACCCATCAGTTTTTAATAACATCTCCCAACCCAAAGCAGAAATAGAATAGCACTATAGAGCCTCCTACTATCACCTGTCCCACTGATAGACCACTATCCCTCTGAAAATGGCTTTTCAGATTAAGCATCTGTTTTTATTTTATGCCCTCACTGAAACAGGACTGCAGCAAGAGCCCGCACCAGTGCTTATTAGTGGAAAGATTCCCACTGAATTCAGTGGCTTAGGCAGAAATGTTATGTGACCATTTTGAAACAAAGCATAACACAGGCAAGGAACACATTGCAATTACACATCTGCAAAATACAACAACAAATAAACCTACCTTAAAATTTCATGACAAAACACCAATCCACTGTATGTTAAAGTATTTAATATTCTAAGCATTTCAGTGTTTTATGTTATTTCGTTCACAGGGGCCAGGAGAGTGCTGGAATTGTGACAAGTGATGGAGAGTCATCCCAGGCATTCAAAGTGCATAAGGTAAAATGCAGATGAATGTTTTGTACATTTTTTAACAGAGATGTGTGAAAGTTTGTTTCTGCTAAGAAACAGTATAATTAAAGAAAAAGTAATATGTTTTGATGGATTGTTTTGGTTTTGTCAGAGTACCTAATTTTGTTATTTGTGTAATTTCTGTCTTGAGTGTATGCTTAAAACAAACATGCCACCGTTGTCCTGCTGGGTGTATCTGTGCATACAGTGGCAGACACTCATAAGTTACCCAGATCATGCTACTGATGTCCGAAAAACTACTTACCAAAGTCACCCTGCATCTCAGCTGTTAACTCTGCAGATTTGGAAGAGTACTGATGCAACTTAATCTCAAGAGAAAAGAAATGCAGTTAAAGGTTTTGCACAAGGAAAAGGATGACTAAATCTTATGTTAGCAAGACTCAAGGAAGTGGCAACTACTTTACCCATAGGTAAAAATAAACAGAGTATAAGACTGAATGGAGGCCTGAGAAAGTCACACAATCTTTCTCAAGCTGAGGGGATCCCTGGGGATGTTACAAAACACAAAATGACCACAGCCTCTAAAGTATTATGTTATGCTCTGGGGATATTTCTGTTCATTCTTTATAAAATGTGATCAGGAAAAAAATAATGTCCACCTTATTCCATCCCAGAAAAGGAGAAGATTGGAAATAAAAAGGCATCAGCAAAAAAACATGGGGCACTTCTTGATATATGTCCTCTGACCACAATCAGAAAGCATTCAGAGTTCTCAGAGAAACATTAATTAAGCTGTTCAAATCAGTCCAAGACTAAGGACCACTCCACTGCAGCAGCATATGTATCTATGCATGACTGCTCAATGCCTCATACAAACCCTTTTCTCTCAAGCATCACGTTTGTCCCCTCTTCAGGCACTTCCCCCCTCCTATCTGTTATTTACAGCCTGATTCACATACACACATACACGCTTTTAAATGCACCTTCTCTCAACTTTAGCAGCATGTTATCTGTTCTTCATTCCTGCTTCTGCTTGAGCTTCAGTTTTCCTACAGGTTTACAGGAATTTCAGCTTCCTGTAAAGTGGGCTGCTCTAGAAATCCTGTAGTAAAAAGTGCTTCTCGGAATGAATTTCCAGTAGGTGATATAATAACTTGCAGGATCTCCATGTTACTGAGCTACAGTACTTAGCTGTCATGCTAAGAATTTAATTGGCTCACCATATCAACTTTGATATTTTAAGAGTTGCAGAGCATGTTTCTTTTATCCTTGAAATGTATTTCTCAGCTACAACACTTTTAAAAACTGTAATAACCACAGTGTATTAAAGAACCTGTGTAGCACAATTTATATGACCTGGTTAATCCTGGAAGAGGTGCTAACATAACAAACATTTGTGTCTGTTACACTGGTGAAAGCATTTTTAGGACTCTGACTTGGAAAGTAGTACAGAAAATATCAGCAGTTAAGATGCTACTGTACCTGTTTGTTCTCCAAACCCACTTGACTCTTCTTCATAGCAAACAGAATGCAAAAAGTGCTCGCTTCTCACTGCATCAATTTACTCACCTTTGTCAACAGTTTAAGGCAATACCTATATTAGAGTATGAACTGGACCATCTAAGGTATGGGTACATGTTCCCTTCTGACTGTGGTCAGCCTTTGACCGTGGATTAATAGGCCTTGACAAAGGCTATTAAATATTTGTTTTAAAATCTGCCAGAAAGACACGTCCAGATTTGTCTGTGGAAGCCTTTCAGCTAGACTCATACAACAAAACAATACTGTCGTAGATGTATTAGCTCAGGGAAAAACATATATCTTGTATAGATATAGTGATGTCAGTAAGAGAAAGATTGTTTCACACTTGGACATGAAAAATAATATATTAAAGCAGCAACTTATGAAACCATTATTGTGTTCTGGCACATATAAGGGCTTGTATAATACAGATGTAAGATTGTCTTCATTGGTATTTTTTTTTGCTACTGTAATTCACATTTGCTATCCCACACCAGTGCAATCTATATCAGAGGAGTATTTCAAACTGCAATTAAAAGATTATGTACTTGTGTAACCAAATCCAGTTTAAACCAGCATTGCTTGTGTAAGTTACTGCAATACTTAACTTTGCCACATCCATTAACCTGTAAACTGGCAGATCTGTCAGGATAAAGTTGGCCTAATAAATTAAGAGTGCATGGTTGCATTTCTGTACATACATGAGCACACAACTTTAGACCACCTTTATGTCATCTATTGAGACCACAGATGATAACTGATTTGGGATAAATTTTGCTGACCATTAAAGCAAACCCATACGAGATTGAGGCAGTAACTTTTTAACATGATAATAAATATCCTAAAACCACATATGCAACCACAGCCTCTTGGTACTCTGACTCTACAGCAGTTACAGCAGAAAATACCCTTAAGTTGAGCTTTCTTTAAGCTTCTCTGGTTGAGCTCTGAAAACAGCTCAGCCAATTTCCTTTCTTTCTGTTGTTGTATCTGCAGCACAGATTATGAGCCATTCGGAACTTCAGATCTCTCCTGTATATCTTTGAAGGTCTTAGAGGAGTGTTACTCATCATATGTACAACAATTACCATGCCTGATAGTCAAACCAGGCATAGAAGGAT